TTTGGGATTAATGGCCATGGCACTCATGCTACGAGGCTCAAAGTCAGGTTATTGTCAGAATTACCTGATATAGAAACACATAAATCAGGGAGAGATATAATTTTGGCATTTAAGAAGGATATTGGTCCCATTCTTTCTGAAACCTCATCATACACAGATGCTTTCATACTTACTAAGGCTGCAAAAATTCTAAGGCAGCAAACGATTAGCCACAAATGCAGCTTTGATGGCACAATTAATGAAAGTTCACTCACTGAATCTGTGCCTCCATCATTGCTTCAATTTGTCTGCATGGTAGAACATGGTGCTGACATTAAATCACAGCTAAGGTTTGGTTTTTTTAGAAAAAAAACAGTGAATTGGTGCAAAAAAAAACAAAACAAAAAACAAAACAAAAAAAAACACTTAAAATAATAATAATCCAATTCCAATTTTAATGTCCCAAAGTAAAGTAGGTGCTGCCCCAAACTCTGCTTCTAGTTAAAGCTACACGCTCATGTGAGACTTGCTGAACTAAATGTAAGACAACTCTTTATATCAATGACCCTTTAAACCCCCTTCATGACAGTACAGTCATGTGAGGAATGTCTAACTAAATCTTAGTACTACTGCACAATGGGAAAAGTCAAACAGTCCCATTTCAATTAGCTATTATTTTGGTCGTGATTTAATAGCAACTGAAGCCCTGTAGTGTACAAGTATTATTTGACAATATCTTTAAAGAATATTACCATAATCAGTCTTTGTCATTTTACCCATTGTTTTGAGGAAATTCTGCTTCTCAATCAAACATTACATACCTCTGCATGCAATAAAGCTTCATGTGCAATCACGACCACCCTGCCTTTGCCATAGTAACCTCCGGCCACAAACACTCTCCCGTCCTCAGTGGAGCCGATGGGGAAAGAAAGGCGACCGTGGACCAAGATCTCAGAGGCCAAATGTTTAGCCCATTCAAACTGAGAGACCCCCTGAAGCAGGCACTGCAGATCATCCTTAAAGTCATATTGGAGGCTGTAATAAAACAATACACAGGTTATAATATAGTATAAATATATAATACAGCAACATAGCAGCACAACTACTTTGTTAAGGCATTTGGTGACATTTTAATAGGCTGGTTTTTGATTAATCATTGAGCTGGCTGACATCATTGGTCCAGTCAGGGAACATTTTTTGACTGTAATGTAAATCAAGGACTCACTCAACAGACTTCCAGGACGTTGGTATCTGGGGGCAGATGGGGACTCTCTCTGATACTGCATAAAGGTCACTGAAGTGTATCCCGGCTGCTGCACTCACTGTGTTGCCCTCAAACTGCAGCAGAGTGTTCCCTGTGGGGTTTTGGCTTTTCCACCACCAGGCCTGTCCCCCAATGAGCACCCCTCCTCCAGATTTCATGAATGTAACTATGTTTTGTGCATCTTCTTTAATATAATAGGCGCATGTCAGATACACCCCAACATCCTGAGCTCCGCTGAAGTCATTCATTACTATGACTTTGAAATCAGCCTTTGCGAAGATTGTCAATCACTTTTCCATCTGTATTCTTCTGTACTCCTACAGACATGTTGCCAGATTCTCCTTTGAGCCAGTTTAGGGCATTCAAAGTTACATCTGGTGATGTGTACATTTGGCTTTCATGACTAAACACGACGATACGCCCTGAACCGTACTGAGAGGCAGCCATCAGCACATGCCCCTCACTGTTCATCACTAATGGGAAAGACTGGTCTCCACTTAAGAGTAACTGACAAGCGACAAAAGGGCCCTCAAAATTAACCTCCCTGATGCTGCTCATGACTGAGGCATAGGCCTCCTGCGGTTTGGACACAGACATGATGGAGAGATGAGAAGATGTGTGGATCAGGCGCTGAGTCGTGAATCCTGTAGAAAAACACAGTAAAGGAGTGAAGGAGAATATTGTATTTCACCCTGCAAACCAATTTTACAACAAAATGTTTGAAACTAAAATCCAAATTTCATGATGGACAAATAAATTCTTGCTTTGCCCATCAGCTAATTAACCTGTGTGTTCCTTAACTATAGTGGGGGACTGGATTGTCTAGGTTCAGCTAAGCCCTGCTGTGGTGTTCAAATATTTGGTTAAAGTGAAAAGTTAAAGTTACCAGAGAAATATCTCCACTTGTCATGTATCTGTTAGGTGTCTGGCCCATCTGAAAAACTACTCAAATGTGTTGGCTGCATGACATCCTTGTGAACATTTAACATTTTTAAGCAGATTTGCATTTGGGAAAATTCACTCCACAGTATTTTAGGGCCAATACACAAGGAAGCCTCAGTGAAATAGTTGTACTTTGTACCATGAACCACTAGCCATTCTGTAAACAAACTTTCATTTAGTTCTTTTTCAATTCTGTAAATCAATGCATAAAAAACGCGCATCTTGATGTGCAAAGCACACGAAAAATATGCATGTTGTTCTAGAACATCATTATGCGTGTATTTTACGTGCGTCTGTACCAACACAGTATGATATAATAATAATATGGCCACCAATAAATTAGAAGTGTTTGCACCTAATCGCTGATCAAGACAGGCAGACCAAGACAGTTCAGCACAGATCTCCTTTGTGGCTTGTTTGTTTGCTCTAACTAATATACTCTAATGTACAAAACATACATTTGTGTTCAGTCATATCAAAGGCTTTGAAAAAGTCTAAAAAAAAAAAAAAAGATGAACCCGTCGTCTTCTATTAAATGATTGTAGTCATTTAGGTCATATATGAGTCTTATTCTGTTGTGTATCAAGCGCCCTATAATAAAACCTGACTGGGTGTCTGATATTATATCATTAATGCCAGTTTTGAGTTTATTTGCATATATATGGATTAAGATTTTATAATCGTTGTTAAGTAAAGTAATAATAAATAGTCATTGTATTTGGTAAAGTGAGAGTTGTTGAAATTTCTTTAAGCATATTGAATATTGCATTTTTTAGATCATTCGAGAAGTGCCTGTAGAAATTACTTGTTAAGCCATCTGTACCTGGGGATTTATCTCGAGCTAAACATCTTAAAGCTTTTTCTGTTTCCTCAATTTTTTATTTTGCATCACATATTCTTTTTAAATATTCATAAATTTTGGGAATGTGTTCTTTAATAGAGTCAAAAAGAGCCTTGGCGTCATTATGGGAGTAGGAGGTGGAGTATAGGCTGCTATAAAATTCAAACATTTCTTTTGAGATTTTTGCAGGATCATTACATTCTTGGTCATCAATTACTACAGTGTTATTGAATTCCGTTCCTGTCTCCTTTTTTCTAGCCTACAAAAGTATGCTGAATTTTTCTCCCCCTTCTCTATCTATTTTGTTCTTGATCTGATATACACTCCCTTGGCTTTAGAAATATACATTTTGTCCAAAGAAGAGTGCAGTAAAATTAGCCTTTGTTTATCCTCCTCACTTAGTAAAGTTTTATTGCATAACTCATGGAGTTCTTTGACAATATCCATTTCTTTTTGCTTATTGGCTCTATTTATTGTTTTGCTATAAGCAATAGAAATTTGACGAATTTTTATATTTCAGGAATTCCTATTTGTTTATATAATTTGTTACTGAGTCATCTTTATTTATATTATCATTCGTTCTTTTTATATCTTGGCAAAAGGGTTCATGATGTAAAAGATTCAAATTTAATTTCCAATAGCCTTTGTTTCTTTGACATGGGCTCTTAGGGGAAATTGTGAGTTTTACCAGACAATGGTCTGTAAGCAGTACAGCAGATACCATAATGTTGACTTCTAAGTCAGATGAAGTTCAAAGATCTGCCAAAAATATAATCTAGACTTAATTGTACCATACCATATATTGATTGTAATTCATGACGTCGTAATATTTCAATTCGTATTCTGATGGATAAAATACACACAATATATTTTATGTACGACTGGACTCATTTGAGAGTTTACAAATATTTATTTTATGCGCAGCTACAGCCAAATATGCACGGATTTCCCAAATACGCACGGATTTCTATTTTATGCGCACGAATATTTTTGACAGCTTTCTTACTCCATAGTTTCTTGAGTAAGATAACAACGTGCATTCTCATTAAAAAAAAAATAAAAATGTATCTTTCCTTTTAATAGAGCCTCTCAAACGAGGTTGGACTTCTAATTTTGCAGCGTCAACGGAGCGTCTCCAAAGTTTATAGATGCATGGGTTTTCAGGAGGGGAAAGACAGGAAATAAACACGCGGTGTCAAAATAAACTTCCGATACCCTTTCAAAATAAGTTAAACAAAGTCATGAGAATGACGTAAACAACGCGCACTGCATCTAAGGAAAGGTTACTGATGGATGACAAAAAGTTAATCCTCGAAGTGGAGAAATATAATGCAATTTACGATGTCAGACATCAATTCTGCAAGGACTCAGGACTAAGCCAGGACGAAACCAGGTCTAAACCAGGACTAAGCCAGGACTAAACCAGGTCTAAACCAGGTCTAAACTAAGACTAAACTAGGTCTAAACCAGTACTAAACCAGGACCAGGACTCACTGTCGGAATCCACCCGTGTAGATCGTCGGACACCCTGCTCCGCGGACTTTGAGTCTTTCTCTTTCTCTTTCTATTTCTCTCTCCCTCTCTTTCTCTCTGTTCTGATGAGACCTGGTTAAGACCTGGTTTAATCCTGGTTCGGGTAGACCCTCTTGAGCATTCCCACAGATCCAGCCAACAAGGAAGTAACCACATTAATAACCTTAAAATAAAACTACAAAAAGTTTTTACTTACTGTATATTATTTGGCTTTTCAGGCAGACTGCTGTTGGTCTGTCCGAAGGATCATTTATACTGCTGCTTATGCACCACCAGCGTGAGAGTGCAGCAGTGACACTGTGGTATACTGAACTCTCAACCACAAACAGTTCATGTTGACACTACTTGGGCCTACATTTTAATTCAGTTCCTGACATAAAAAAGTTGAAAATGTCATAAGTATGACACTTTAAAAGAGCCTTAAAGGAAAAGATAAAAAGATGACACAAAATAGCTTTTTATTCTTTTCAAATCATCCCAATAACAGGCCATTTATTCTGATGATCATTTTTAATGTTAAACTGTAATACATTTGACACATGAAAAGCAAAGGTTAAGAAATAAAGGTCTGACAGCAGTGCTTTCTTTCTTAGTGTTGCTTATTGTTAAATACATGAACTTAGATTTATTTTGTTGACTCTTTCTATCTCTAGCCTCTTGTGTTGAAAACATCATTTATTTTCTATCCATTTACCCTTCGGAGAACTGCCTGAACAGGGCTTCTGATTGGCTGTCTTTGAAATTAGGCACAAAGTGGAATTGTGAAGTATCTCAGAAAATCCCTCTGAAAGCGTAGGAGCCACAAAGTGTTTCCTGTTGAAGATACAAAAAACATCATTAAAGATTATGTATAGTTTGAAGCCAAGCCAACAGTACCTGCCTGACCTTTCTCCAGGGAGAGGACTGACAGACTCTTTCACCAATTAGAAAATGAAAACTTCAAAAACATTATGACAAGATGGACAAATCCAGTGGGAAACATATGCAGTAAACTGTTCATGTTTATAAAGACTAAAAAAAAAAAAAAAAGTGCAGTGGCAATTGTCTTGTTTCAGTCATTGAATTAATTGAATTAGTTGATTAAAGGTTCTGTGTTACTCAAAATTGACTCTTTCCAGGGCTGTAATTATCCAGATGATTCTAGTGAAGGTGTATGGAGTTTAGAAACATAATGGAGCACTTCCTGTAACAGAGTGTTTTCCTTCTGAGAGAAGAATTCTAAATATGCAGGGTTTGTGTGAATGAAACAAAACACAACTATGTTTGTTATGTGTGTTTCATCTTGTATCATGGAGCTTGTTTAATCATAATCATAAACATAGTTAACAATACTGGGCCTGTCATCTTTCACACCATCCTCATCAACAAAATAATTAAAGGTATGAGTTCTTTTTAGAGCCTTCTTTAATTATTCAATGTATCTCAATTTTTTTACCAGAATTTTTATTACTTTCAAGTTATTTATTATAAATATACTGGTTCTTATAATATCTGTGGGTTTATTGTTAAATAATTTGTACCTCCTCTCTGAATCCTTTGTTTTCAATTTTATAAATAGTCTGTAAAGATTATTTTTGTAGCCCCTTCATTAACCAAGGACAATTTGGGTTTCTTTTTTTGGTTCTACATTGTTGAACAGGACAGTGTTTATTGTATAATGTCAGAAATATTTTATCTAAAAAATGATTATAAACTCTGTCAACGTCATTCTCCAAGTACACTGAACTCCAGTCCTGATCATTAAGGATTCATTGTTTCTATACATAATTGTCAACATTGTGGTTCTTTTTAACTCTTTCACCATAAAGTGAGAATACTGGTAAGTGATCTGTTATGTCACAGATCATTAGACCAATAATATTATTGTCCACATTGTTAGTAAATATTGTAAATAAGGGTAGCACTGTGATCTGTAATTCTGCTGAGTCTTGTAATAGTTGGATCTAAGATCAGGCCACACATTCTATTAAGAAAAATCTATCAAACTTTCTGTTTCCATAGAATCATGCAGGTGGAGTGCCTCTGCCAGAATGTCACACAGTGCAGCTTTAATTTCAAATGCATCTTAAAATAATCTTACTTGTAACTGTAGAAAACCATATCGTTGACCTTGAGATGTTTGTTTTCTGATGGTGTCATTTCTCGAAACTGTAAAAACAAAAAGATATTCCAAACCTGAATAAGGAGTGCACACACGCACGGACACGCACACATACATACACATACACACACGCACGCACACACACACACACGCACACACACACACACGCACGCACACACACGCACGCACGCACACATACATACACATACACACACATACACACACATACACACACATACACACACACACACACACACGCACACACACACGCACACACACACGCACACACACGCACACACACACACACACACACACACATACATAAGGGCAACACAGTCTTACCCTGTTGTTGTGTTTGGCCAGCTCCAGACTCGCAGTGAATTGGAAACAGCGACTCTGCACTCCTGCAGCTTTCGCCACGTCCAAATAACTAAAACACATTAAAAAACACAACACTATTTAAAGGTGTAACATGTAACTTTCTGGAGGCAACCTTGAAATCAAGAAGATGGTGACTACACTGATTTTAATGTTGACAGTATTTTACATTTTTTGGTCTCTGGACATGAGTGTTTTGGTTGTGTGTATTTTATACTGTAATGACTAATTCTGATTGTGACGTCACCTGCATGGTACCATGGAAGTACAATGTTCAAATAAAACTATGCTTTGGACGATTTTCCATGGAGATAAATAAGTTTATGTCATACTGTGGACATTTATGTTCAGAGGAGAAATTTCCATTTCCATGGAAACAAGCAGGAGGTGGCCCTCATCCAGGACAAATAAGAGTCAGGTTTGTGGAGATGCAAGCCTGCTCACAGTAAGGATACATGTTTTTTCAGTGTAATACAATAACATCAACAATAAAACTGAATTGTTTACTAAAAAGTTACATACTGTGGCTTTAACACAGTATTTGACATGCACATAAACAGTTAGAGGACTATGCACAGTAAGAGAAGCCTTTATCTGTGCAAGAGTGTGAAGTTGCAGAACAGGAGATGTGAAGAGCATGTTGTCTTTGGTTGTCATGTCTATTACTGAAATTCTTTCCTGAATTTATTGTCAAATTTATAAATTCAAATTTCAAAATTGTGATGTTCTGGAGCGTCTATTTATACTGTTTATTTAATCAATATAGAATGGCTGGATTTATAATAGTAATGTGCTCTTTAGAGCTTCTAAGTATTTTATTTTATTTTTATTAATTAATTAATTTATTTATTTATCCAAACAAGGACAGTGCAAAGACTAGGTTAATCTCAAAGAGAAAAGATGCTCTATTCTAGATTTAGCTACAAACTACTTTCCATCTGCAGACTTTGTGCAAGTTTTGACAGACGTCAGCTTATTTACATAAAAGCATCTCTCAAAAACACTATCAATCAACATGTCATCAATAGCAACGCTTCCTAAAGTTATAACTATTCAATTCATCATTATGCATTTAAATATGTATACTAATAAAGGCATAAGTCATTACTACCCCTTCTCTTAGTACTACCGGTACTGGTACTTTGCACTGAAAGCACGAGCTACTATGTTAGCTCTGTTACTCAAGTTAGCCTTTCATCTGATCTTTATTTTAATCTTATAGGAAAGAGCTGACTTAGTTGGAACTACAACAGGTGAACATATGACTTGTGCACTTCAACAAGTCTCTAGCAATAGCCAGCAGTTTTTCAGATAGTCACTCTCACCTTTTTTGTAAAAAATTAAACCTGTAAACAGTACCATGACACACCTTTTTCACTCTGATTCACCCTCGCTGTGTGAAGGAGAGGTTTCGCACGTCTTTCTTTCCTGCTGCTGTCAGACTGTACAACAAACACTGTTAATACTGAACATGTGCCATTCAATTATATCCATGTGCAATTATTTTTAAGTCTATTTTTAAATTATTTTTAAGCTATTATTTATTATCTGTTTTATTGTATGTTACCTTTTCCTGCTGTTCTGAAATTGCACGTTGCAACACTAGAATTTCCCCACTGTGGGACTAATAAAGGCATATCTTATCTTATCTTATCTTATCTTTTTTTGTCTGTGTTTGCTAATGTGTGCATTGTGTCACCAAGGTAACGGCTGAACATTCCGCCAATAGAGATAAATGTAGAACACCACCAGTGTCATGTCAAGTATCAGTATTTTAGTTTTACCGTTTCCGTGACTCTGGGTCTGGGTTGGTGTTGTCCACCGCAACGCTGCGTCCTTCTTTCAGCGCACGCTCACAGGCTGCAACACAACTCTGCCACGACCCCAATGTGTCCTAAACATAGACTGAATATTACATGTCTATGTTTCAAGTAAGCATTAAACAACAAGGAACTGTGTTATGCCAAATGCAAAATTGTTTAAAGGGCCCATATTACGCTTTTTAAAAATCTATATGTTGTAAAGTTGTTTCCTCATCACAAACATACTTGCGTTGTGCTTTGTTTCAGTCACACAAGTTTAACACACAAACCCTGCATATTTAGGCTGAGTTCTTCTCTCAAGCAGTAAACACTCCACCTTATGTCATGTGGTAATACAGGTAGAGCTCCACTGTGTTTTTAAACTCTACACACCTGCACTCAAATCATTTGGATCATTTCAGCTCTGGAACTGTCAATCTCTACTGAACTAAAGATAATAGTAGCTGTTAACTTGAAAACTACCACTACATGACATCACAAGGTGGAACAGAACATTTTGAGCTTTGGAAATGTAAACAGACTAATAACAGAGGATTACTCAAACATGTGTGAATGAAACAAATCACAACTCCAGGTCTGTTTTTGAGCAGGTAACAGCATTATAACATGACTTAAAGCTCACAAGAGTCTATTTTCTGTAATATAGCACCTTTAATGCGCTTATAACAGCTACAAACTGAAGTGTCTCACCTGTGAATCTGAAAAGGTTAAATTAATAGCAGACTGATCACTTACTCTGTTTACATACACGTAGCCCTTTGGAATAACATGAGAGTGAAAGAATGTTGATTTTCCAGCTGTGAACAAGGGGGAAAAAAGCAATTGAAAATGTGATTATTATTCTTTTGAAATCTTACAAAAGGATTTTCCGAACTTGCACTTAAGGCAGTGCAATTGTCTGAACTTTAATCAAGGTTACAATTCAGTCATGTCTAATTTTCAATGATATGCCTGTCTGTTTTTAATGGAGAGATCTGCAGCCAATGTTCAGGTTTAGAGCAGAGGTCAGACTGGTAGAAGAAATCATATAAAAACAATTGAAATTGAAATCTTATTTCAAAATTAATTCAGAGCATCTACAAATCCATTCTATAAGATCTCCAGATTCTTACATAGGGAACTTTGTCCTTTTCTTCCTATCCATATTTATAACTTGATTATACTTACATGCAGGGTAACCCACAGCAACAATAACTTCTGTTTTGTCTGAGATGAGAGAGGCTGATGGTGGGTCGTACAGTCTGGCGTTATAGTTAAGCTTTCTCTGGAGAAATGAAAAGAATCAAATATTTACAAAAGAAAAATCAAACATTATATTTACACATTACACATAAATGTATAATAATAACATCATATATTTCATAGGTAGTGTTTTATATAAATATATCAAAAAATATGAATAAGATCAAAATGGTTAAATCAATGGTAAATTGAAATACTTATTTCTTACAGGGTCAAACTCAGGCAGATTGTAGGGGGCGCTCTTCCATCCTAGAAAGTACTCCTCAGGAGTGTGGAACTGTAGTCCAATGTTGAGGGCAAACTTGAAAAGAAAATCTATTAGTTAGAGGTTTGTGCACACGTTTCTAGTACATATTTGTGTGTAGTTTTTTGTTAATTCTGCATAATAAAGTAAATGGAAATGCAAACATGTTAAATATAATCTTACACATCTGTCGCTACAGGAGAAATCCTTCTTCTTTTTCCCAGGAGCCCAGTTTTCTGGCCTTCCTGCAGCGTCTATAGAAGAAAGTGATACAATAAATTATGTGTATAAGTTTTATCAGTTCTTACAAAAACTGTGCTTTGCAAAACTGTATTTTGTTCATTTTTAGCTATAATGATAGGGTACCATTTGCCGTTGCAAGAGTTTGGTGTCTGGAGAGAATAGATAGTGTTGTTTACTAACCAGCTACAAATTCAGATTTGCATTTTAACTTCTGTATTATGACAAAGTGTTTTTTTTTTTTATCTTCATTCACTGTTCCTGATAAATACACTTTATCTTTTCATTAAAACAATAACAAACACTATATGTAAAACTAGTCCAAAAATGTCTTACCCCCAACATAGAAACTCTGTGCCTTGTCAACAGGAATGCTTTCATTAGCCTGTGAACAGACACACCACTAGTATGTTAAACCTGTGTGCTGTCAGTCAAAATAATAGAATAAGCTGTTAAAACAACCTTCTCACACAAATGGGTCCACATTCCCACCACTGGCTTCCTGTATATGCCAGGACCACTCGCTACAAAAACCTGAAACACATTTTATTTAGTTCAGTTAAATTTTATTAATATAGCTCATTTAAAACAACTTCAGTTGACCAAAGTACTTCACCTAGAAGTTGACAAAAACACAGATATACAGATAGGAGCACGATACATAGGAAAAGTACAATAAAACACCAAGATATCCTATCTAGTTTGTTTTAAATGTCATCTACAGTAGTCAGGCTTAGCATAACAGCTACCTGTCTAATATGCAAACCCTGTACAAAACAAAATGTTAAACTTTTCGGAAGTGTTTCTTTGACTGGACCATACAGGCCTCTGCTTTTTCCTTTAACCACTTGTGATGTCTACATTAGCTTAATAAGAACAATGCTGATTGGAGGGGCCAGTACAGACAGTTGATTCCGGTCAGAGACTCAGGAGACTGGATGAACTGAGAATGTTCTTTAATAGCAGCAGAAGAAAAAGGCACAATGAGTGTGTGATGTGTGGCTTTCAGATCAATAATGCACGACAAAAAAGCAGCTGCAAAACAGAGTGATAAGTTAACTAGGCCACACATGGAAATGTGGAACTAAAACGCATTGGTTCTTTCCAGTCTTTCTAACAACCAACTTCTGACACATACAGTAATAGGCAAGGCAAGTTTATCTGTATAGCACAAGGTACACAACGTAATTCAAAATACTTTACAGAATAAGAAAAAGGGGCAGATTTGAGATGGACTGAGAACTGTTCATTGCTCCGAAAGAAGAGCAGTCTTGATGAACGTAGTTTTCAAAGCTCATGAGAATGTTCCAGATTAAAGTTAACATGACTATGCAAGCAAGTGGTGACAGCAAACGGTTGAGCAAGGACTTTAGAATTCTAGTGAGTAACAGATGGAGGCACCATGTAGATGAGCAGTTGCAGGTGTAAAGTGACTCAGCTCTAACTGTCTTGGAGTGTGGCTGTGGGGTTGTTATTTGCACTGTGGAAAAAACTTCGACTTCATATTCTTAATCTTGCATATTTTATGTTCTTTGTGGTACGTGTTGATCTTTCACAAGACACATTTGGCCTACTGTAAGCACACACTCACTGTACCACTTCAAGCATTTCAATAATTTCTTGTACAATACACTGTTATGTTTTAATTACATAAGTTTGCATTTGCCTCTTGCTTATTTATCTCGTTTCTGTTGGTTATCAGAGTGCACGCCACAGAATTTGCATATTCTGCCTCGGCATTCTACAGAACGCTTGATTTCCTTATTTGCCTGTAACATATCGGTAAGCATTTATCCATGTCAACTGGTTCCATGCACTACGAGTCAAAAGGCCTGTCACAATCATTTCTATATCGACTTATCGTTCAATATATGAAAGCTGGAACAATATAATCTGCTGTGATACAATAAGGATTGAATAAATAACTTCTATGGCTAATTATTGGTTCATTCTGCTGTTCATTTGTTCCAGCTCAGTCCTTTTAATGATACTGTCTATTTTAAAATGGTTTACTGTTATTCTGTCAGTGATATTTTCAGTATTTTCAGTATTATGGTTTATATTTCCATTCGTTTTTACACTGTAAATTCTCACTGAAGGCCTCACAACTTTAAAAAAAAAACACAGATGGAATGTAGTAAACAAAGATGTGAAATGACTCAAAATATATTTTAGATTCTTTCAAAAAGCCACCGTTAAATTTGGTGCTTTGGACACTCTTGCCATTCCACTAAATGACACACACCAGACACCTCTGTGACATGACAACCGTTTAGCTACTCTGAGGACATACATAACAACATATATATAACATACAACCTATAACAGCCCCCACAGTGGACTGTTTTAAGTCTAGTCTTAAGACCTGCTTTGGTTCTCTGCTTTTAACACCGCATGAGTTGTGTGGTCCTCTGTTGCCTTTTATTTATTTATTCATTTTTATCTATTTTATTCTTTTTTAGTACTGCTTTTATTTATTGATTTTATCATTTTATCTGTCGACTGATTGTATTAGTTCCTTGTTAGGCACATAATTCTACTGACTGTTAAGAGTTAAATGGTTTACACTGCTATGTGAAGCATTTTGGTCTTGTTTATAAAATGTGCTATACAAATAAAATTGGACTGGATTGGATCTTTAGAATTACTGAAGAATCTATCTTTTCTTTACTACATAATTCCATACATCTTCCTTTATATATTAGACATGTCCGGTGTATCTACAATGTATAAAGCAGTAAACATAAAGATTACATTTAATGAAAAGGTGTGTCCAAAACCTTTGACTGGCAGTGTCATTTTGAAGTGATTGTTTCTCAGATATCTCACATAAATCACCATCAGAAATGACCATGTGGTAATCAACAGAGCTGTACAAGCACACTGAAGACTAAACTATATACTGTACTATATACAAGACTTCTCTTAAAGGTGCATTGTGTAACTTTTCTGGTGGAGCCTCTGTCAAATACTTTTCTCCATGAAAATGCTATTGCCTTGCCTGGAATGTTCCATGGTGTGACATTAAACATATCCATCTAGCATTGCGTGTGTTTCTATTGCTCAAATATACAACAATTCTCTCTGTGAACAGACTTGCATCTCCACAGATCTGACCTGTAATGTAGCCTGTAGTTGTCTCTCTATAGATAGATAGTCTCTGCTATCTCTACAGTGGCACATTATAGACAAAGTAATAACATCTCCACGGAGACAAGAAGGCGACGGACCCTCCACCAGAAAAATTGTGTAACGCTTTTAAGATTCCTCTTCTTTCTGCTCTTTTTCATTCATTTCACTTCTGCTGATGTATGTTTATATTTTATCTATCTCTCTATACAAATAAAATGAGAAATAATTCTGAAATTACATCTAAAATAAAAAAATAAAAATCTATAGTGACAAACCTGAACTGGCAGCTTTAGTGTCGCAAGAATGTCCTCCACTTTCGACTTGAACACCTCTGGTCTCAGTTTGCCTTTAGCGATTCCCAGTTGGTTAGTGAAAAATACAACCTGCAGGGGAAAAAAAAAGACTGATTATTAGTCCACTAAAGTCACTGAAAAAAAAGTATTTTAAAAAGCTTTCACTGAATAGTCTTTTTTACCTTGTATCCTTTCTTGAGCAAACTAGCAAGTCTGGGTTGGATCTCAGGATACAGAATTCTAAAGGAGAAACATGAAAAACTATTAAGATACTGGGTGTTTAACATTAAAGGGTCCATATTAGGCTATGTTATGATCTGTTATAATGTTGTTTCCTCATCACAAAGATACCTGGAGCTGTGTTTTGTTTCATTCACACATTTAACAGGCAAACCCTGCATATTTAGGCAGAGTTTTTCTCTCAAACAGAAAACACTCTGTTCCACCTCTTAATGTCATGTGCTAATACAGGAAGGGCTGCTCCACTGTGTTTTTTTAACACACTGGAATCATTTCAGCCCTGGAATTACCAATGTCTATTGAACTAAAAGTAAAATTAAATTAATTTAAATTAATTTGAAAACTACAACTTGTGAAATCACAAAGTAGAACAAAGCATTTTGAGCTTTGGAGATATAGACATACTAATAATAAAGGGTTACTCAAAGACATCCGAATGAAACAAAACACAATTCTATTTGTTTCTGAGGAGGTAACAACATTCTAACATAGCTTAAAGCTCACAGGAGTCAATTTTGTGTATTATAGCACCTTTAAGGCAATTATGGTCTTTTACAATTATTAACTAAGCAGGGGAAAATGAACTCAAACATGTCTTTTGATAGTGGCAGACACTCAGCAGATCATGCACTGATTGAACCCATAATCTCCTGCGTAGATGTACGTTTCAACATCATCTGTCAATACTCACCTCCAGTCGTCTGGTGCTGTGGGAAACACTTTTCCAGACTTAGTGGTGATGATGCAGCCATCGATGTCGAAACCAGCAACCTATTTCAACAGCAAAGAGGAATGTGGCATCAGATGTTTAAAATTTAAAAAAATATTTGTTTCTAACAATAATATGTCAAATATGAGAATGTCTGAACACAGTTTTCTTTTTTCGATAATTTTTGTTATAGACTTGTGTTGAAGATTTTAGGTGCACTATGTAACTTTTCACCTGCTTGTCATGTTATATTGCTAAAAAAACATTCTTACGTGCTAAATGTGGGCAGTGAGTAGATCTGATCTGTAAATTGTGGCCTTCTTTGTCTCCATGGAGATAGACAAGCTTAACATACTGAAATATCCCAGGCAAAATAACATAACATCCATAACATCTCCATGTAGACAAGCAGATGGCTGACCTTCCAACAGAAAATTTACATAATTCACCTTAAAATCAATACTCAGATAATTGGGACAATCACAGACTTCTATAGAAGATGTTCCTATTGCTCTGCTCTGCACAGTCGAACAAATGAATCAAACAAAACAGATCATCATTTCATATGCATTTAGCAGTATGTGTTATGATTTAAAGGTGCACTATGTAACTTTGTGCTTGTTTCTCTGGATATGTCATTGATCTGCCTGGAATGTTCCACAATATAACATTAAAAAAGCTCTATCTTACATTTATTAAATTACAGGTAGTTTTATAGCTCAAAAATACCCAGAAAAACAGACATTCTGACTGTGACTGGAGTTGCCTCTCCACAGATCTGACCTGTAACTTGATCTGGTTTGGTCTCCATGAAGATAGAAAGGTTTAATGCCATACTGTGAAATATGCCATACAAAGGAATAACATCTCCATTCAGAAAAGCATTTGACGGAATCTCCAACCACAAAAGTTACACAATGCACCTTTACAGTAGGGAGTGGTCCACACCTTGTCACTGGCTTTGACTCCAGCCGCTGTGTAAACCATTAAATTGTTGATCTGTTGCCAGTTGCTCTGGGCACATCCCTCTGAGGACAATGATGAGGCCATCGAAGTCTGATTAGAGTTACTGGTGTCAGACACAGAACGTGCTGCCAGTTTTTGCAGCTCCTTCAGCCGCTCTTCCGCCATCTTCTCCTCTTCATCATAATCTTCCTCTGGAGCTCCTCTGTCCAATTTGAGACGCTTCACTTCAGGCTGGTCTTTCTCTGGGCTCAGTGATCGTTTTGAAGACTAAAAAGAAAAAAAAAAAGGTGTTGGTGTTGTGACTGTTTATCATTATCACAAATTATTACAATATCAAATATAAAATGTGCTAATATGTGGCAACGGTAGATAAATGTTGAATATGGTTTTGAACTATGAAAAATAAAAGTGATGCAATATATCTGAGTAAGAGTATGACCATTCTTGGTCTTCTGTGGTATTATTTGAATAAGGGAGTGATAATTAATATTTGCCTAGACATGAGAATGATTAAACTTTATCAGAAGAAAGTGTGGACGTGTATGGCCATAGGCCAAATGCGAGTCTGAGTTTGTATAGTCACAAGTTAATTTACATGTAAGAAGAGAAGGAAACCAAAATTAACACATATATCACATGTTCAGAAGTGGACTTGGTTTGGCTCTAGACCTAATTTTGTCATAATATAATTCAGGTTTAGGTCTGGGTTTGGTCACAGTTAATTCCTGATTTTGATGTGGTGTATGTGCAAATGTGAATGTACCCCAAGACACACAAATAATAATGAATTAGTCTTTTATAGAATTATAATTTAATGTATTATTAATTTACTCCATACTTGGTGGTGGTAATTAGCCCTCTGACCACCAGCAACACTCACACATACACACGCACACACACGCAGACACGCACGCACGCACACACAAAACATTCATATTCGGCAAAGTGAGTGAAGTGTCTTGTCCAAGGACACTGGCGCCCCACTGTGGCATCTGATTTTCCCTGCAGTTTCCCATTCAACTACTAACCAGGCGCAGCCCTGCTTTGCTTCTGAGATCTGACGAGATCAGGCTTTGACAGGGAGGTTTGGTACAAACTCCTGCTGCAAATGTGTGATCCAGTGTTATGAAACAAATACTACCTTTATCGGAGAAGCAGGAAAGAAATCCTTTATACTCCTCTTTGGTTGATGACTCTCTTTTTCAGCTCCTTTAGTTTTGTCTTTTGCTTTAAGTCCGGTGTGTTTTACACCAGAAGAGGTTCCATTGGAGTTTTCAGAGTAAAGCAGTTTAAATGGGTGGTTCTGGTTCACCAAATATAAAACTCCTCCGTGAGTCAGCTTCCCTGATTGCCCTCGAGACAGCTTTTCATTCTCCAGATAACTAGGGTTGGGCCCAAGCTATGGGAATATGTAAGACACACAGGTTAGTCGTTGCAAAACATGATCCTTTATTTACATCAAGATAAAATGGTAATAGTTCAACAGATTCAAATGTGCTTTTACTGGTGTTAGAGTCAGTTTCCTCTTTCAGTTTTGTCAGGACCCATAATAAACAAGACAACAAGGTAAGCACAATAACACAGTTTCTGTTTAAGTCAAATATGTTAGTATTAATACCACAGCTGAACATAAGCAAGTGTTTTCATTTTAATAATTGGTACTGGACAAAGATTCTCACCTGTGTAATAACGACAGACTTTTCCGCAAAACAAGCCACTGCCTTAACTGTAAAAGAAAATGAAAGTATGTTAATAACAACTCTACAACAACACACTCACAGTAAAGTCAGATCTAAAAGCTGTTTGGGTCTGTGGAAATTGTGATTCATGAGTAGCACGTTTGCATGAATCATTGTTGTGAATTTGGCAAGACTTTTCCAAACTTGTTTTAACCAATCCACTATCTGCTTTTTTCTCATGTTGAAACTAGTTGACATAATAATCGCAATCGTATTTTGATCATCGTCTTTTTTTTTTTTTTTTTTTAATCTCAGTGGAAAATAAGATAGGCACGGGGGGTGGGCACTTAAAAAAAAAAAAAAAACAAAAAACACTAGTAAACACTACTAAAGTTACAAAAATCACGTTAGTTGCAGCTCCACTTTTGCAGCCCCACTTCCTGTCAAACGGAGTAAATGCATAGATGCCCTAACTCATGGATCTAACACGACAATTTCGCATCAGGTTCACTTTATTTTCCACAGCACCGCTCCTCACCCTGGTGCCTTGAGCATTTCTTATCCGTGACTCCGGTGTCTGGACCCCGACCCAAGATTACTGCTCTACCGTCTTCAAGTGGGACTCTCAGCCCGGAACCACCGACCAGAGCACACGCCATTACAAAGCAACTTGATTATAGTTTTAGAAAGGTGTTATAATAAACAAGAAACTGAAAAATATCGCGATTTTTAACAGAAACTTAAGTCTTTGGTACTTGCACGCCCTGCTGTGTACAATGGGTCCATACAAAATAACGCCGACTGGAAACTCTAGCCGTGCTTTAGTTCCGTGCTTTGGTTCCGTCTCGAACACGACAAGCGGCTCCTGTAGTGGACAAACGATTCTCCGCCCTGGACATGGAGTTTTTATTAATAGCTAACATTATAATTAATAATAATATCTCTATGCATACAATTTAAACACCTGTCATTATTTTTGAAGTATTTATGAAGAAGTTTAAGGTAAGCAGTTGACATGTTGTTTCTGTTCTAATGTAGTTCATGTTTTTTTGTCTCCATTAATCATATACAAAATAAATGTCGTCCTTACTTACATCATAAACTGATCTTATTTAGCTGTAGTTTATGATGACACAGGGTGACCAGACGTCCCTATTTACCCAGGACAGTCCCAGTTTTGAGCCCGGCGTCCCACGTCCCATTGGATTTATCGTAAACCACCGCGGTTGAATTGGTTTGATATTTGATATTGGATATGTGATACCTTCAAAGACATTTAACTTGTAATACATATCACTGATTTTTTTTTCAAACAACTTGTGAGGTCTTCATAATCATCCAGGGTATATATCACAAGACAGTAATTTAAAAAAAAAAAAGATCACACTATGAGCTGATTTAGTGCATATTTGTGAATTCAACACTCATTTAACTTGTGATGTACAGATGTGGACAAAATTGTTGGTACCCCTCTGGTAAGGAAAGAAAAATCAACAATGGTCAGTGCGCAATGTTTTTTTAAATAATTACTGTCTTGTGATATATACCCTGGATGATTATAAAGATGTCACAAGTAGTTTGAAAAGAAATCTGTGATATGTATTACAAATTAAATGTCTTTGAATGTGTCGAATATCCAGTATCCAATATCAAACCAATTCAACTGTGGTTCCAAAACCAGTGATTTGTCCCAGTCTTTAATAAGAAATGTCCCTGGTGTCCCTATTTTTGGCCGAACTGACACCAGCCAACAGTAAAGAGAGGCATAAATTGTCTAGGTTTTTTGTTTTAGGTTTTTGTTTAGGTAAAATTAGATAAAACACAAAGAAAATATGACTATACTGACTCACATGTTATCGTGAATAAGTTATGAATGAGCCAAGTGCAGAACAGTTTTTTTTTTTATTACGCACTCGTATCACAATTATATTATTACCAACCACGACCACCCTGGGGAGTCTCAGTTTCTGATTTTGAAAATCTGCTATGTTGACTCCATGAATGAAATAGTTAAATGAATTGTAAATGTAGCAATAGGGTTTATGAGAGAAGTTGACGCCCATTAGTAATTGTTAGTCAAATATAATTTCTCAATGGTACTGAATGTTAATGAGTCAGTTATGCTGGTCCTAGCCAAGCTCACTTATTTACGTTTTAGACCCCAGCTGAGCTGGTCCAACAGGTTCTTAGAGCATGTCCTGATCCACTCTGTTATTATGTTTCAGTCTGAGAAAGACTGCGGGACTGCAGTGAAGGACTTCATACAACCTAAGCCAGGAGATCCATTTTAAAAGTAAGTTTAATACATACAAATAAGATAATATAGCAAGTGTAGAAGTTATACAAGCTTTTCACTTTTGTGTATTTGGATTTAGGTCTTTTTAAACTCTCAGAGAATTATATTAACAGGTACTATCACTACAATAACTGGTGTTATTGTTATCACTTCACGATCTCGTGCTTTTCATTGATGTGGGAAATAACAGAATAATGCAATAATAATAATAATAATAATAATAATAATACATATGACATTTTGAGCAGCTTAGGTAAGGTACACTATACAGTTAGGCCTGTCACAATAACAACTTCTGAAGAATGATATATTACTGAAGAAAATGTACGTGATAAAAAAAATAAAGCTGGAACTAATTTAAGCAACTGACACAATAACCCTAAAGTAAACCTATCCTCAAAAACTATTCTAAATTTACCATATGATTAAAAAAGACTGACTGCAATAAATAAATAGCAGAATGAAATGCACACACAGTACTTAGTTTGTGTCATAGAAGTTATTTATTCAACATTCTGCAGCTCATATCTAATTTTAAAACAGAAAAACATCAAAAAGCTACTCACTAGTGCAAAGGGTGAGGGTTAGGGATAAATAAGGGACAACAGATGGAAATGATCTTTTTTGTTATAATCTGGCATAGTTACAATTACAGATGTTCATTAATATGCACTGTTCCTATCAAATAAATAAATAAATACTGAGCCTCAAAAATGATGTCATTATTATAATTACTGTGACTGGCCTATATACAGGACAACCTAAGATGGAGGATTTACGTGTTTTACATGTTTTAAGTTGCTTGACTATTTTACTGTTTGTTTTATCTATTCTCCTGCAGAACTCACTCTACACCTGCCAATCATGTCCTCCCTTGAAACCACACCCGCTGAACAACAAGCCTATAGCTCCATCATGAAAGGCCTGGGGAAGCTGGATCTTTCTGGCTCTTCTGTCCCTTGTCATCTGACCTTAACTGGGGACCACGCTTTCCCATTGGTCATGAATTGCAAGGGAGAAGTTATTATGGCAGCTTCAGCTTACGGGTCAGGGCGTATTATTGTGGTCGGCCATGAAAACCACTTGATAAAATTCCCCAAATTTGTCGAAAACGCTTTACAGTGGCTTAAAGGTGATCAGACTGTTAACATGTCCGTGGGAGTACATGCATCGCTCAAGAATGTAGCCGAGAATCTGTCTAATACCAGTTTCCAAGCCAAAGTTGTGGGAAGTTTTAGCAGTGATGCAGGCTTTGCTGTGTATGTTACAGATGCCTATCACTTTGAGGGGAAAGAAAGTGACATAGTAGCATTTATGAAATCTGGAGGGGGGGTGCTTATGGGTGGGCAGGCCTGGCACTGGGCATCGCAGCATCCCCGAGACAACGTCCTACTACAATTTAGTGGGAACAAAGTGTCTGGAGTGGCTGGTATCTACTTCACTAAGCATCACAAAGAAGGGGAGTGTGTGGCCGTAGATCCACAGATCCCACAATCCTGGAGAACTGCCAAGTAAGTGGCGCAATACAGATCTATACAATAATTTGTTATAAAAAAAATAAATAAAAAAAAACATTAGTCATTAGAGGCATTGCAGGGGGCCCTCAAAGGTTGTTCACTAAACAAGCATAAAAGGAAAGTACAACTGTATACAGGAATGGACTGTGACAAAAAAAAACAACAACCCTGGACTTTTCCCCCACATGGCCGATAGACCTGTACAACTTTTACCACATCTAGGTGCCTTTATATTTTTGACTTAGACTTAATTCAGTTTTTAAACAAAATGAGGGAGCCATAAAGATTACGTAGGATTTACCTACTCCTCCCAAAGTAAAGGTTACTCTACAAGTTTCTAGGATTTGCAGTAATAGTGTTTGTTTGTTTTTTTATTTTCATGTATTGTTATTAAGTCTGTATGTGCATTAATAAATAATTCATGGTATTAAATAATTTTGTTTTTCAGAGTCTGTAAAGACTTCAAGGATGACTTGGAGTTTTTGCTTCAGGGAGTGACTGAGTTTGACATAGGTGACGGGACATTTTCAGAGATCTTCATTCACGGACCACTGTCTTTCCCCATCACCACCAAACCAGAGGGAGGAACCCTGATCGCAGGAGGCTACTATGGAAAAGGCCGGGTTATAGTGGCTTCACATGAAGGACTGTTTGGAAAACCGGTAAGGCCTGGAAATACTGTATGTAATAATAATAATAATGATAATGCATTTTGATGATGCAGACAAATCTCAAAGTGCTACACAAGAGGTAAACACACAAGAAACAGCGCAACAACAGTATTTTGTTTTGAGAGAAGTTAAAGGTGCACTGTGTAACTTTTTTGGTGGAAGGTCTGTTACCAGCTCTCTCCATGGAGATGTTGCCTGGAATGTTCCACAGCTTGGCATTACACTTATTTATCTTTATGGAGACAGCAGGTGAGACCATAGGGCCAAGTTAGATGTCAGATCTGTGGAAAGGTGAGCCCACTTACAACAAGAATGTTTTTAAGTAAATGAAAACCCATGTTATTGAATAATTGCAATGATGGGTACGATGTGGATTTTGTGCCATACCGGGACATTCCAGACAAAGCAACACTATCTCCATGGAGACAAGCAGATGACAAACCCTCCTCCAGAAAAGTTACACAGAGCACCTTTAACATATTCACATATTGTTTGTAATGTTTACAAGTAGTGCAACAAAACTAGAACATACATTAGTATTCTAAGTATAGCTCATTTACACCTGCATGATAATATAAAGGACAAGTATTAAGTGTAAGTGTTGGTGGACTGCAGGGATCTTACCAATACTTACCTTTGTATACATGTTTAATATTTTTTTTGCCAGTTTTCTTGTTAAAATATTTGCAGAACATGCAGATGATAGTGAAATGGCTTTGACTTTGTGTTATTCACACTTTAACTTGTCAATATGTCAATGCTCACAATGCATTAACAAACAAACATATAATATCTTTGTATCTTTTCTGTGTATATATTGTGGACATTTCTGATGGTATTGTAAGTGTACTATCTGTTGGATCATGTTAAGTGGATGTTTAAGGGTCCTATATTATGCACAATTGTTTTAAGACATGTAAGATATAATGTTACCTCATCAAAAACATGCTGGGAGTTGTGTTAACAGCAAGTTAACAGCTACATTTTACCTTTTGTTCAGCAAAAAATTATTAAAGCTGAAATTATCCAGATGATTCTAGTAAAGGTGTATCAAGTTTAAAAACACAGTGGAGTACTTCCTGCATAACCACATGACATCACAGGGTGGAATAGAGTGTTTTTTGTTTGAGAGTCAGCCTAAATACACAGGATTTGTGTGTTAAACATGTGTGAATGAAACAAAACACAACTCCAGGTCTGTTTTTTATGAGGAAACAACATTATAACACAGATTAGAAAATAGCGTAATATAGGCCCTTTAATGATTTAAATGTCTACTTTCATAATTGTTCACTTTGTATCTCG